GGCAGTAAAGTAATTACCATTAAAGGAGAAGTGATTAAACCCGAAGACGATAAAAGTATTCCTTTCGCCAATCCATCGATTTTGGCACCTAAAAACTAGAATTTAGATTATCATTTTCCAAAAGCCCGATTTAAGCTTAGCTTTGTCGGGCTTTTGTATATCTAATCAAGTCCATTGGAACAACAGAAAAAAATATACTTCATTTCTGATTTACACTTCGGTACACCTGATGCCGCTTCAAGTCGTGCGCGAGAATTGAAGTTTGTACAATGGATGGAAGAGGTATCGGTGGATGCTGCAGAAATTTTTATTGTAGGCGACTTGTTTGATTTTTGGCACGAATACGGAACGGTTATCCCCAAAGGCTTTGTACGGGTGCAAGCTGCCATAGCAAAAGCAGTGGATGCAGGTATTAAAGTTTCGCTTTTTACCGGCAATCACGATTTGTGGCAAAACGATTACTTTGAAAAAGAATTGGGCGTTACCCTATATCGCGAACCCATAGAAAGAACGTGGAACGGAAAGCAATTCCTTATCGGACATGGCGATGGATTAGGCCCGGGAGATCATGGCTATAAGTTCATGAAAAAGGTGTTTACTAACCGACTTTGTCAATGGCTTTTCAAATGGTTACATCCCGATTTAGGCATGAAACTAGCGGGCTACTTTTCGTATAAAAGCCGATATGCGAACGGTAATACTCCTCTAGAAACATTCCAAGGCGAAGACAAAGAATGGCTCATTCAATATTGTAAACGAAAACTGCAAAGCAAAGCTTACCATTATTTCATCTTTGGTCATCGCCCTTCACTTCCAAAATAATTTCTTTGAAACCACCGGCTGTTCCTTCGTTCGAGTCTACGATATTAATTTGCCAGCCTTGCAATTCGCAATAGCGTGTATACATTCGGCACAAGTCACCTACAAAGATAGAGGCCTCATCTCCACCCGTTCCTGCACGAATTTCTAATAAAATATCGCGCTCGTCTTCCTCTTCTTTCGGTACTAAAAGCGATTTTAATTCCTCTTCGTATTTTACTTTTTCTTCTTCCAAAAACAATAAATCGGCTTTCGCTAAATCGCGGAATTCTTCGTCTTTTTCAGTCTCTAAAATGTTTTTGTTGTTGGCGATATTGGCTAACACATTTTGATAGTTATCATACACTTTCAAAATGGTATCCAACTCTTTGTATTCTTTGTTGAGTTGCTTATATCGTTTCATATCCGACACAATCGAAGGGTCGGAAATCATCTTTCCTACCTCAATGTATCGTCCCCTTAAATTGTCGAATTGTGCAAACATGTTTCTTTTTTGAACGGTGCAAAGCTAATAAAAACAATGTTTTATCGGAATTTCGGCTGTAGCCCTAGACATTAAAGATGCTCACGGAATCCC